TTTCTTCCTTTTCCCACCACAGCAAGCTGGATGGAGCATTTCTGCATCCTCTCCCCACGCTGCTATCCCTACCCCTGCAGAAATGTGGATTTCAAACAAAAGGCAAAATTTCTACACTCCGTTTCTGATAATTCAACTTAAATTCCCACCAACTGGAATCTGAGGGGGGATCTGATCAATGCTGATAAATACTTCAAGGGAGGGTGTCAAGAGGATGGGGCCAGTCTTTTTTCAGTGGTGCCCAGGGACAGGACAAGAGGAAATGGACACAAACTTGAATAGAAGAAGTTCCACCTCAACACGAGGAGGAACTTCTTTCCTGTGAGGGTGGCAGAGCCCTGGCAGAGGCTGCCCAGAGAGATGGTGGAGTCTCCTTCTCTGGAAGACATTCAAAACTCACCTGGACACGTTCCTGTGCAACCTGCTCTGGGTGACCCTGCTCTGGCAGGGGCTTGGACTAGATGATCTCCAGAGGTCCCTTCCAACTCCACGTGAGTCTGTGACCAGATCCTACAGCCAGAAACCATCTCCTTGTTTTTGTTCTCCAGCAGAGCTAACCAGGCTCCTTTAAGTTCTCCAATATTTTTTTCCCCTCCCTTAGATCAGAATCCCAGCATTTCAAAAGCTCAGTGCCCCAAACCCACGATGCCGGGAACTGTCCTGAGCTTTTCTTACTGTGGATGAGGAGGAGGAGCTGAGGCTGAGACCACAGTGTGCCAAACTGATATAAATAAAAAATCACAAAGAATGGGGCAGAACAACACAGCAATGTGGGTTTAATTATTATTCAAAGGAAGACGCTGCTCAGAAACATCTGATGACATGTCAAGCATATCAAGAAAGTTATTTATGATAATAGTAGCAAAGAAGCTGCTTTGGGCAAGGGCTGTCGTCCTGGTCTTTGTAAAAGCATCTTAAGCCACGATTGCAGTGAAAACAGGAGAGTAATCACCCTTTTTTCCTTGCTCAGGGAGGGTGATGGGAGAAGTTTGCTGCTCCCACCGACAACATAATTGTGAGATTTGCTTTGCTTAACATAATTAATACTCATAAAAGACCACAGCGCTCCAGGCTGTTTGCTAGAACAACTGTGAAGATTTTTATGGAGATATATTAGGGGCGTTCAGCTGCCATTTTGATGTGAGAGATGCGGCACAAAGAGAAAAATCATATATGGCTTGCTGTTCAGGAAGAGTGATGGCAAATTTTGCAACCATATGTGTAAGACCAGATACAGGGGTGATGACCCACGTCAGGTGCTGCTGAACTGCACCTCTGGGATGGAGAGAATATGTCTAAGCCCAGGCATGGGTATTGATGTGCTCCTGCTGTGTCATGTAATGCTACCCAAGGGTGTAGGACTAAGTCCTTTTGGGACTCGGTGGCACAGTGGTGCTTCAAAGCAACCAAAAAACCCCCCAGGTCAGACACTACCACACTGGAAGAAAACTCCTGTCTCAAAAGCCAGGGGAGCAGCCATCCCAGCTCCCACCAAACTACATCTGCACGGTCCCCACCCCAGCACGACGGGGGTGTGGAGGAAAGCTGCTGAATTAAAGAGCAGCCCACGTGGACAGTGAGTTAAAGCTGGAACCAGCAGGAACATGGGGTTTGATGCTCTCTGACACCAGGAGCACGTATCACACCGATGCTTCGGAGGTGCTCAGTGCCAACCACCAGCCTGGCTCCTGGGGGCTGCGGGCTGCAGACTGCTCCCAGTTGCTTCTCAAGTGAACTCAATGGCTTTGCCCGTGGGTTACAGCAGCTCTGAATTTAGCTTCGCGTGCGCAAAGAAGCAATAAAAAGGAAATCAAATGTTAAGCACCGCAAGCAAGCAGGAATCACTCCAGGCCAACTGTGATATTCAGTTTTGCCCTGAATGGCATCTTGCACCAAGTGAAGCTCATCACCTTCACTGGGACTTCTCACGCTACAACTTTTTATTTCAGCAAGAAGCAGTATTTTCCTCTTAGTTAAATATTTTTTGATGATAATCCTATGTCTCCCGCCTCTCCTTTAAGAGCCTCCTCATTCCCTTTAGGAAATATTAAGGCTGACTCGAACAGAATTTAGCTTATTCACTCAATGGCTAATGTCAGGGAGAGAGGTGCTGGTGGCTCCGCTTATCTACCTCGTACTGGTAGTTCAGCTAGTTGCTAAATAGCAACTCAATTTAGCCACCCGTCCCTCAGGCTCCCACGTGATGTGCCCCACAATTAAAGTTGCAAGGAATAAGCAGAAGATAGCAGTCTTTCCCAACAGTATTTAGGAATGGATACAGCCTGAAAACATCCCCATGGACACTCATTCAGCTGAACGAGTCCTGAGGATTTTGCTTTTGGAGCCTGACCATGAGTGCAATAGGGCAGGGGAATTTACTGCTGGCAACCTGCAACAAACTGGAGGGGCCATTTCTAGTGAACGAGGCCAGATGGGAAGGCTGATCTTTCTTTGCATGTCTCCATGAAACATGGTCTGCAGCGCGACCATCCCACACCACAGCCTCCAGCAGCCTCCAGTGCCCGCATCCGGCACTCCCAGCATCACTCAGCTGAAGATAACACTCACAAAGCAACCAACGACCAGGAGAGGATTACACCCTGAAACCCGCACAAGGATGCTCGTGGACAACCCTCTGGCAAAACACAGCAGAAATACAAGCGACCCCAGGTTCTGGTGCAAAGGGCAGAAATTGCACCTTGTGACTTTTTCCATGTCCAGGCTGAACTCTGTGGGGAACTCAAACCAACATCTTGTTTTTAATGATGCACCACCAACCAGCCCCTGTTTCTGGAGGTTAGCACAGCTTGTCTCTGCTGATCCCACAGGATCTTTTATAACGTTCCTTTAGCTCCCTCAATGCTATCTATGTGATCACATTGCAAGAAAAGACCTCGATTTGTGGCTTTAATTAATGAGTCATGGAGGGAATAAGTCTTGTTTCTGCCGCCTGGTACCAAGACTGCCTGCCCCCTCTCCCCAGGGGCAGGAGAAGGCAGCGGGTGAAGCCAGAGGTGAGACATGAAGAAGTGAGCTGCTGATGCTGAGCTTTGTCTTACTGAAAATTAAATTTGACGTTGCTCTGCAGGGGGGAGCCCAAAACCCCATGAAAAGACAACAGCCCTGGAGCTCTTACGTGTTAGGCAAAGGCTGAAGGGAAAGGTCCCAGCTCGAAGAACCACTGAAGCCCAAGGGCACATCAGAAATGGGGCTGCTGGGACCATTACATGTGTGTGAGGGTTGAGTTTACACCCTGGTGATAACGCCCAGGTCTAACCCCTGGCCTGTGCTTCTTGGTGGTGGTAGGAGGGAGGGGAGTACACTGCAGTTCTGCCTCCTCCCTGCTCCTGGAGGCTACGTCCATGTCCCCCAAGCTATGGAGGACACAGGTCTTTGCAGATTAGAGGACATGTATTCATTCATCCCACACATTCCCAATGCATACGTCAAGAGAAAATAGCCCCCCTGGACTCACCTGTAACTCCAGCCCATTCCCACCCAACCTGCTCCTGCAGGGCTGGAAACGGGACCGTTTCAGGTCAGTGGCCCCATCCAGATCAACACCAAGACTTCTAAAGCCCATTTCCAGCCCGCTCACCCTCTCTGGCAGCAGAGGAGCTCTCTTAACCTGTCTGCACCCAAACGTGGAGGCTCCATCAACACCTCAGCCACCACCCTAATAAAATCTGGGCACTGCCCCATCTTTGGGAGGAACCAGAGTCAAGTCTACCAAACCCTGCCATCTCCGGTACTGCAAATTAAAAATCCCCACAGCGGGCAGGGAGGGAGGAGAGGATGCAGGAGGTGTCAGTCCTCACTGCCGTAAGCCAAACGCTGTGCGGAGCCATCTGCCACCCCACATGCTAATGGGCCGCATGGCTCAGCTTGACAGCGCTGCGTGCTGGAGCACGTCAATGTTTTCAGCACGGGTAGGTGGAAAACTTGATCACCAGCACAAACAAGCCATCCTCTGCTCATCCACACACCCCCCACTGCCTCATTTCCACAGACCTGCTGGATGGCAATCACATCCTTTGGGCATGATGGTGTAAGGATGCCCTACCCAGCCAGAAAGGTGGCATCTCCATCTGGCAGGTGGTGGGGGTGACTCCATCTCGCAGTGGCAGGAGCCACTGTGCATCTTGCCCCGTTCTCCCCCACAAGTGGAGGGATGAAAACCAAGGTGGGCACAGAAAGCTTTGGGAAGGAGGTGTGAGTGAGCACAGGGCCCCAGTCACCCCCCCCCCCCCCCCCCCCCCCCCCCCCCCCTCTCTGCTTCTATTTTTGGGGGGGGTGTGCTGCTGTTGATGTTTTATAATCCCAAAAGCCAGCCTTGCACAGATCTGAAGTATGCGGGGGTGTGTGTGTGTGTGTCTATACACATACAAGCAAAGTCAAGGAAGTTTAAAAAATACATTTCCTCACAGCCTTTTTTGTTGTTGTTGTTGTTCATTTGGTTTCAGCCAGTGTTTTTCCTGGAAAGGCAGAATGTTTGTGCAAGCTTTCTCACCAAACCTCAGCCAACTCCAGTCTTGACTCACCAGCGCAGACAGTATTTTCTGATGTGTGCAGAGCTCCCAGAGGTGGGTACGTCACTCCTGTCCTCTCTGCTGAAAGGAACCAAAATATGGATACGTGCAATGATGGACCAAGTGATGTTTCTCCGGTAAGGCCACCTTCTGCTTGGGATGTTTCTACTTTTAGGCAGAGTACTGTATGATGATGGCTCTTATATGTGGTACCAGGTGCCACCTCCTTGAGGTGACCCCAAGGTGGAAGGTTCATTCTGCCTTTGCCGCCTTGTCCAGGCACCCATGGAGAGATGGCAGCTCCAATGAATGCCCTAAGTATCTCTGTGTTGGCTAAAACATTGCAAAATAAGAGACTTGTCTTTTTTTTTAATCTGTGGACAAACCCCATGGGCTCTGGGTAAGAGCTCCCTGCAGCCAACTGGTGGTATCTCCTACCTTTCCATCCATGAGCTTTCAGTCTTGTGCACTATTGCCCAAAAGAATTAATCTCCTCCAAAGCTGATCTGCAGCTCTTTTCCATCCCTCCTGCATATTTCAGTCCTCACAAGTGGACGCTAACAGTGCTTCTCAAGCACTGCCTGTTTACATGAGCTATTTTTCCAGCCATAATTCACATTGCTGGGTGCCTGAAGATGACTAAAAGTTATTTAATCTCTGCATTAAAAAAAATAAATACCTGCAGTATCCTTCACCAATCTAAATCCAAGTTGCTCACTCTAAGCAAGCCCTACATCACTAAAAGAAGGGTAATGAAAAAAGGTAAGACTGAGTTGAAAAACTAAATTCAGGGCAATGAGAGCTTTTCCACTGACTTTTGCCAGTGATGAAACCAGCACAAGAAGCGAGATTAAAGACACCTGCAGCTCTCAACCAGCCCAGCAAGATGGGGACCTCTTGGTGGCCCCACATGGCTCTCCCCATGCAGAGATGCTTCATATCATCCGGGCCTTGCTCAGGCAACCCCAAGCATCTGCTGCCTTGGAGTGTAACTAATGCAGGGGGCCCACTCAAGTTCCTTAAATTATGTCCTGGCTCCCAGTGACACAGACTGATTTAATCCTTGCTGCTCTGCACCGCAGTTAGAAAATTACTGATAGCTCGTTATCCGTCTTAATCAGGATCAGCAAACAAATGAGGGACAGGGAGACATCCAGAAGGGAATACACCGCATTACTCCTCCTTATTGATAGCACAGTTAATTTGATGTGGAGACATAACTTCAGGTATCACTAAATACTGGAGCAGGGATGTTTTGGTGCAAGGAAGATCTATGGGTGCAATTTAAAAGCAGTCTGTTTAGGAGCAGTGACGTCTACCAGCCCCGATACAGATCTGAGCCGCGTGGACAGACTGGAGATCATCACTCAGCGAGGTAAATAAAGACAGTGGCTCTTCCACAGTTAAAACAGCACCAGCTGAAAATTGCAGCCCTGCTTCCCTCTTCTGCTGTGCTCATGGGGTGAGCACGACGAGGGGGGACCAAGCCCAAGGGTTTTACTGTTTTACTGGGTTTCTTAACCCAGTGGTGGGTTGAGGACTGTTGGCCAGCAGGGTTATGCGTTGCCAGGGTGCAAATTAATAGCTAATATCAAATTCATAATAATTAACCCACTCTGCTGATTGACTAATACACCCGAATCGAGGCCAGTATTGAAGTCAAAGAATCCCATGGGGTTGGAAGGGACCTCTGGAGATCATCTAGGCCAACCCCCTGCCAAAGCAGGGCCACCCAGAGCAGGTCCCACAGGAACATGTTCAGGTGAGTTAATGTCTCCAGAGAAGGAGACTCCACCACCTCCCTGGGCAGCCTCTTCCAGGGCTCTGCCACCCTCAAAGTGAAGAAGTTCCTCCTCATGTTGAGGTGGAACTTCTATTCAAGCTTGTGCCCATTTCCTCTTGTCCTGTCCCTGGGCACCACTGAAAAAAGACTGGCCTCATCCTCTTGACACCCTCCCTTTAAGTATTTCTAAGCATTGATCAGATCCCCCCTCAGCCTTCTCTTCTCCAGACTAAAAAGACCCAAGTCCCTCAGCCTCTTCTCATAAGGGAGATGCTCCAGGCCCCTGATCAAAGTCAAAAAACTGCCACCGAAGTCACAGAGGAGCCAACACATGGTGTGTCTGAGGACCAGCTCTCAGACAGCAGACGAGCAAATTGCAGGGCTACAGACCCAGCCTTAAATACAGGTTGGTTTTTTCCCCCCTCCACCTTTTAATATAAAATGCAGGTTGGCGGTTTCAAAGTCACCTATGGGATTTGCACATCAAATTCTTCTTCATTTTAAAAGGATCTACGTGTGCAAATACCTTAATCAGCACTGAAAAGTTTAGCTTATGGTAAAAAAAGCTGCAGAGGCAGGTGCTCAGCATTGCACAGGCAGACACCGTGCATGTAAAACAGCTTTTCTGAATCAGATTTTCACTGTGTACATTCAAGGTTGAAGAAGGAAAACAGTAGCACCTCAAAGACAGCAATAACCACCCATTCAAGAGAGAAATGCATGTTTCCACGTTTACCTGACCAAATGAAAAGGATTAGCTCAAAAATTTCTTTGCAGACGGCACAAAACTTTGGGAGAATACCCTAGATTTTAAAAAAATAGATGTAGATTTTAATTGTAGGCGATGAAATCTACTCCTAGGTCATTATATCCTTTCAGGTAAGTAATAGGCTTTTAAAAACTTGTCTAAATAGCTATTTCCCCAAATGAACTCCAACGGTGCTGAAGGTACATTAATTCTTTTAATGGTTCCAACATGACAAATAAGGGGGGGGTGTGGTTTTTTTCGGAGCTGGTATAAAATAGATTAATTTAAAAGAAATCAATTAATAAAACTACCATTAAAATACTGCATCAGCGAGCAGCGTTGCCAATAAAAATCAACAGACAAAGGGAGGAAAAGTTGGACCTTCCCAGAGACTAAACCTTTAAGTGAAGAAATAGGGTGTAACCTCCTGTTGGGTTTCTGCTGCCTTCACCTTGGGTCCTGAGAGGACAACGCGTGCTGTGGGACAGGCTCATGGTCAAGGTGACCGTGCCCTTAGGGCCACTATTTCCCAGGTCACCCAAAAATTAACTGGGATGTAGAGCAGCAAAACTGGCCGCTGAGTTGGCTGGATCCCACACACTGCGATGGTGGTTGGGGCAACAACAATCCCCCCCCAAGTCCTCAGAAGAAGCAGCTCATTCAGACACAAGGGGAAACCCTTATCTGGGGAGCCAAGTGGCAAAATAGCCCTTCACTGCCCAAGTAGCAGGTCTTCTCCTGGGTATCTCCATTCAAAGGCAAAGGTTAACAACAAAAGAATAACAACAAGGATTTTTTTCTCTGAGTCTTTTGAGCTTTTAGCCAACTTACTCACCTCTTGGTTGTGCTCGGTGTGAAAATTTAATGATTTTTATGGCCCATTTTAGCATTTTTATGTCTTTTTTTCTTCGGGAAAAAAAATCCCGCATTTGGTGTAAGAATTAAAACAGTATTTCATTCTTAACTGCGCTCACAGATGATGTATGGAAGAGAGCTGGCTGCGTGTCAACTCAATATAAAGCCAGAATTGGATCTAACTTGGTCACTACAGCTGTGCACGAGGTTTGGGGAGGGGGGAGCTTTTTTCATATCAGTCATAAATGAAGTAGAAACTGTGACTGTGCTAATTTTGTATAAAACAGGAGGGAAAATATGCAAAATGGGGGGGCAGGAGGGAAGAACCAGGATCACTCTGTATTTATAGCTGTGCATTGAGGTGTGCATTCTACTGAAAACTCAACCCAACCCACTGTTGGATCATGAAACTACAGTAGTTAATGCACGACGAGGGTGGCACCACCACGCACAACAGCCACGGTGATGGTTGCCCTTTGGTAATGCCAAGGGGCAGAAGGGTTTCTTCTGCAGCTGTAGGAAACCACAAGCTCCAAATGAACCTTGGGTTCCTGTCTGAAAAACAGAGCTTCATCCCAACCCATGCGGCTGTGGGAACGTGTCAATTGGCAGAAAAACGCCTTTCTGCCAGAGTGAGATGAGACAAGACACTTTGAAAGCATCAGCAACGGTCTTTTTTTTTTTTTTTCCCCCATCTAGCGACAGCATTTTCTGATGAAGGTTTTGAACATGGGATCATATTAGAAATGGAACTTCAAAGCAACACGGAAACTTTTCATGTAAGAAGAGAGCTGCTGCTGAAACCGTTTCTTTCTACTCCCGCCTCGCGTTTGAGGTAGGTTTTCTGCAGAACCCATTTTTTGCACTTTGTGTGACACAACAAGCCCATCTCCTGCTGCCTTCTCCACCGTTTCCATCCTCCTGGCTCCAATGGCAGACACAGAAACGACTGCTCACGGACGGGTAAGACGCAGGTGAAAGGCAAATTTAACGAACACGTATATATATATATATGTATAAAAGCTAAAAGTCTGTGTTGCTCACCAAAGGTTCCCTTTCCAGTTGAAGAATGGACTCTTCTGGAGGGTGCTTAACAGAGCCAAGTGACACCAGCCTTTGGGCTTGCCTTTTTTTTAATTCCTTATTAAGTTTGCTAAATATAATCCCAGCCCAACCTTCGTGTCAGGCTGCAGCGGCAGAGCTCCCATTTCTATACCAGTCTGTACAAACAGTGGATTACCCAGAGAAAGAGACCAACCACAATGGCAGAAACAGAACTTATTAATTCATTTGTGGAATTAAATCACCTGCCCCGGGACACGGAGGAAAGAAATGCAGGAAAACACCTCTAACCCCTCCCCAAGCACCAGATAAACTCGCCGATAGAGGAGACACAGCCCTGCTGTGCCCAAATCTGCTGGAACCTGCTGGAACAGGAGGCAGAGCAGGATGGATGGACCTTGAGGGCACACGTGGGGAGAGCAAACCACAGCAAGGACGGGCACACCTTGGTCTGGTGGACAGATGAGACACGCAGAGGTGGAATAAACAGGCCCCAAAACCTTCCGCTGGGACCTGCCCTTATTTCTCCAACAGCTGCAGAAGCAGCTTTAATCCATGTTTTGTCCCCAGATTTTGCTCTTCTGAAGGGCCCATTACGCTACCTGAATTTAATGGTATCCATGGCATTTGCACAATGCTTTCTTATGGTGCCGTGCGAGGAGTCAGGTTGCTAATAAAAATAAAATGAGCGGTGCCGGTTTTGCATGTGAATAGTTGCATTTAACTAAATCATCAAATGGAAAAGGATCGTCCTTTTCTTCGCTAATAATTCTGGGTGCCACTACAAAATGCATTACCACAATCTATGTGGGCTTTTATACTCCAGCAGATGCCATGTGATATTATGCTGATGTGCCAGGACAGGATAGTTATTTTGCACTATAAGGTAGCAACTAGGAATGATGAAAGGCTGGGGGAAATTTATGGTGGATATATGTGGTTCTGCATCCCTCCCCCCTTAAATTTTCAGAATGGTTCCTTACCCCTCATTCTGTCAGTCTGGTTTTATTATTTAATTACTGGATAAAACTACCACTCACTCCCTGGTCTCGGTGGCACCACGGCATCCAAGAGGCATCACAGCATCCCCACGGGGCAGGGAAGTGCACAGGGGAAACTGAGGTGCAGAGGCAGTGCCGTGCTCGAGGGACCAAGGGTTATTGTTCTCATCACAGCATCCCCACGGGGCAGGGAGGTGCACAGGGGAAACTGAGGCACAGAGCAGTGCCGTGCTCGAGGGACCAAGGGTTATTAAAACTAAATAAAATTGGCAGAAGCATCAAGCAGTGACCTGAAACTCAAGCACAGCCCTTACATTTTTGTCTCTTGTTGGAGGTCTACAAGCTGTTCAGTTCCAAGGGCTTTTGCAGTCGTGGTAAGACATGGGGTGACGGAGACACCCCACCTCCATTCCACCTCCTGTAGGTAAACAGTGCCCAAAAAACCCAAGAGTCATCCCACTAATGTGCAGCTGTGGGTTTACTGGGGGGAATTAAACCAGCCCAGGCCACCCCAAGCAGCAGCTCAGCAGCTCCTGCTGAAGGAAACGCTCAGGTAACTCTCTGCCCTTCAGCAGACCACTATTTTGAGCAAAACTTGTAGGAACACGACAGGTTTGAAGCTGCAGACTGTGTTCCCAAATGAGATTAAAATTGGTTCAGACCATACTGGCAGGGGAAAGGGACTGCAGGACGGAGCAGTGAAGGGATGGACAATGACTTCCAAATTGTGGGAAATAAGCTAAGTTTTGCTTCAGCTTATTGATGTATCATTGTTAGTGTGATAGTACTAACAAAGAAGCCTTAGTAATAGTAGAGTCTAATAAATTGTATCCAATTAATCCCCAGAAATGCCCTTGGTCTGTCAAGGGATCCTTGTTTGCAAAGCGTTATCTAGGTGAAAAGAAACAGACTAGAACATGGCCTTCAACACAAAAACCCAAAGGGTAGGGGAGTATCAATAAGGCCAAAGAAACCAGTCTGGTAAATCTGCCAAGTAGATGGTAACAAAGACTCTGAAATAACGTGTACCTTAATCAACTAATCAAAGGCGTGTTTAGGATAATGATTTCGTAGAATAGGTGTGTGTGTGCCTTATATGGGAAAAAGTGCAAAATAAACCTGTAACAGGTCAAGCGGTCGGGAAGAATGTGAGCTCCAACTTCTCAGCCAATGAGAAGGGAGACAGAAACTCAAGCGGCCGGGATAAAGGTATAAAATACCTGAAAGCTAAAAGATCATCGTGCATCTATTTTTGGTGCACCCGATTCAGCGCTGTTTCGTATTAATAAATTATTATTTTTAACCTTTGCTTCGGTGACTTTGTCCTCTTTAAATTCTAAGATGTGAGTCGGTGTTTCTCACAAAATGAAAATCCCTATTTCTGAGTGTTTCACTGAATTTCACTGAATTTTTAGAGTTGGAAGGGACCACAGAGATCATCTACAGTATTCCCCTTCCTTGTTTTTCCTGCATTTTGTCCTTTAGAATTATTTTTTTTAAAGCCAGAAGGGGGATTTATACATTAGAACAGCTACTGACCTGATACCAGTTAATGATTTTATAGAACGCCTAAAAAATGCTTTACTTTAAAAGATTGATGTTTCCTATTGTATTTTTTCAATGCCAATTAATTACTTAATTCATTAGCAATGTAACACAAGAATAGTCTTTGAAAATCCGGTGCTTTGTGTAGATGCCTTTAATTATGGATAATTAAATACTGCGGGAAGACCTGATTATACCTCTGAGCATTTTCTAATCTGGAAAATGAAACATGCTCTTGTACTCTTGAATGCACGTAACAAAAGCCGAGCTCAACGACTAAATGCAGGAAAAAAAAAGACGGGGAAAAAAAAAAACAACAAAAAGCACCCCAAAATCCAGACCAGTCCGAACCCCCGTAAGTAAAAGAGGGCAGAAAGCCCCTTGAGGGTTTTGTGCACACCTTGCCTGGTTGGCTTCTCTGCGTGGGGTGGTACCCAGTCCCTGCTGTTTTGGGGACACAAGAAGCCCAAGGAAGCTCTGCGTGGAGCTGCTGTGGCCAGCGAGCAGACACGGGCTGGGGGCAACTCGGTGTCAATGTCTGCTCAAGTCAGGAAACAGATTTCCAGATGGTCCTTTGTACACATGGCCACAATAACCAGAACTGCTAAAAAGAGCAAAGCACTCTCCAAATGAAATCAGGGCTGACCTTGGAAGGGGAAAACTCGCCAGCACCAGAAGTTACGCCATTAGTTTGGCTTCGCATTCATTCCCCTTCCTTTTTTTTTTTTTTTTTCCTCTTTCTCCTCTTTATTCCTCTGCAGTGATTGCAGGGAGAAAGTCAGCATCCAGAGGGCTGTAATAACCATAATAACCAGCGTCACTGTCTCAGAAAGGGTTTTAATCTCAGAAGAAAAGTCTGGGAAATGTTTGTTTTGAAGACGGCATCGCCCCAGCTCTTTCAAGACAGATTCCCCTCCCTACGGCAGCTGAGGTCTTGCAGCAGGACACAAGGAGGTTTATTTTTGGCTCTTTTTGTACTTGCTGGAAAAAAAGCAGGGGGAGAGGAGGGGCACCGATGTCTAAATAAAGCCAATTTGTGCTGTCACGCCAAGCACCCTCGCTGCACACACTGCCCCTTCCTCCTCCCCTGAGCATCTTACGGCTGATTCCTCCCAGCATCCCTGCCCCTCCACAACCCATTGCCTTCTGCCTTAATTAAAAGCCACCAATTATGCTGCTGAGCCATAAAACGAGGCCAGGGGCTTTTCACTGCCAGCGGCCAGTCCCGCTTGGCTGGCTGGGAGCTGACTTTTGCCGCTGGGCAGCCCGACCCAACTCCCTGATGACCGGCAGGTTATCGATGCACCGAGCACATATGCTGCAGAACGGGGTCGTTAAGCACCGTATCACAAACGAGCCATCAGCCAGAGAGACTAAATACTTACAGAGAGCACAGGCCAGGGCTCAGTAAACCTCCAGTGGATGCTTTTGTGAACAAACAGCATCCATTTATACCCTCCAGACTCTTATTTTGCAGCCTTCTTCCCCGGGCCACGCAGTGATGGCCCAACCCAGTGAATAAACTCTGCCGTGTTTATTGAAGGTATTTTTCAGCTGGAAAATTTGGGGAGAAAAATCAAGACGAAAGCTCAGGGGCAGGATGGCATGAGGGTAGCACATAAATGGGCTTCACAGTGGCACTGATTCACCAGGAGCACCTAAAAAGAGGGGAAATGTCACTCGTAACCTGCAGCCACCTGTCTGTGTTAAAGAGTCAACCTTAACAGTAGCCACCAAGTCAACCGTGACTTTGTGGCTGCTGAGGTCCAAGTGTGGGGTGTTGCTCTGCCCCAGAGATCCCCTCCTGGGGGGCGCAGCCCAAAACCCTCAGTGGAGGCAGGTGATTTCAGCTGAGAAAGGCAGAAACTCAGTGACGGCGGGGTGAAATGCACAACCAGACACTACAGCCTATCAGACCTGTTATTGACACTGCCCAGGGACCTGGTGCCTACAGTCATTTGTCAGGATGACAGCGACCACCTGACGCTGCCAAGAAGGGCTCCCTCCTACAGACAAGGGGTCAGAGACTCAGTTACCTCCTCCCAGCATGATGGTGACGGGTGCTGCCAGAAGGGCTCCCTCCTACAGAGGGAGACTCAAGTTACCTCCTCCCAGCATGATGGTGACGGGGGTAACGCTGAAAGATGGGTGCAGTTTGGAAAGTTTTGGACATAAAGAGCTTATGTGGGGAGTTTTATTAATTTTTTTTTCCTCCCAAGAGAGTAGTGGAAAACAGAAAGCCAATGATCTGTAGCCTGTTTACTGACCTCCCTGCCTACTCATCCATACAGCCATAGACAACCATTGGGTTGGCCCCACACAGGGGTCTATTCCCCACGAAGCTGAAATTCAACCAGCACAGGCAGAACTGGATTTACTGCAGACTTCCCTGGGCAAACACTTCATGAGCAGGTCGCAACTAGAAAGCTCGACCCTCAGCTGGGAGGACAATATGCACTGATTTCTTTGATACACCTTGAGTGTCATCTTTGTATCTGGCAAATTCTATTCCAACAGGGAAAAGCTTTCACACAGTGCTTTGGGACCCCAGTGCATCCACGGAGCTGGGACAGGATAGTCTTGACACTGTTTAACCTGCTGTTAGGTTTTTTTTGATCACACTTGAACCCAAGGAGGGAGAACACAAGGCAGCTCTTCCCTGAGACGGAGAAAGCAAACAGGGCAGAAGGGGCAATGCAAACCGCAAAAGACACTATCACACACAACAGAGGAATAAGGAAAGCCCTGGCTCTATTGCTGGGGGTTTATAATCTCCTCCTTCGAGGCCATTCCCCTTCCATCACCACTCCTTGAGCCTTTAGATCCATAGGCTAAATCTGTAAAGAAAAGTGATCACCTTTATTTCACTTGTTGACCCACTTGAGAAACGTAAGTGACCATCTGGGCAGGGAAGTCCTTCAGGTATGGGCCAAACTGTTCAGAAAGGGGCTCGGGGAGGTTCACACCAAGCAATGAAAGAGCTGAACCCAGCAGATCCCCTCTGTTTCTCAGTCTCTCACTCAGATTTTAGCAAGGCGTTTTTTGGGAAAAAAAAAAAAGGCAGCAAACCAAAGGAGGCAGAGCAGGGGGGGCGGTTGGTTAGGGGCTGGGGGGGTCTGTGCAGACCCTCCTAGCCCAGAGAAGCTAAAAGCACTCCGGGAGGATGCCATGTTGCAGTTTAGGAACTGGACCACAGTGTGTATGTTCTCTAGGAGGTCACAAAGGTAGCTGAGGTTTTCTGTGCAAAACACAGCAAATATATCTAATTGTTGCTACTGTGGACAGGTTTCCATTTTCAATCAGTTTTCCAAGTCCTTATAATTACCATTTGACATTTCCTGTAATACCTTTCTTTTTTTTTTTACTTTTTTTTTTTTTTTTTTTTGGTTGTGAACAGGTTTCCGTTTTCAATCACGGTTTTCCAAGTCCTTATAATTACCATTTGACATTTCCTGTAATACCTTTCTTTTTTTTTTTTTTTTGGCACAGCTTGGAAAGTAACCAAAGCTTCTCTCTTGCTGCTTGCCCTGTAGCACGGCGAGGGCACCGGAGCCTCAACGCGCGCCGACCACAGCACCCCGAACA